TGTGATTTCAAGCCTAGACTTATGTTCTGGGAGCTATAGTTTTGTGTCTGATTCAAGATGTGACTTCAGTTTGCTGGAGGATGAAAGAAGTATTCAGCTGAGATCTGTGCTCAGTAATACCAACCCACTGACAGTATAGAGCATAGGATTAGTTCTGAGTTTAAAATCCTTAGAAGCTGAGTCTGAACCTGATCTCTGGTCATGGGGCTTGGGCCTGAGTCATTTAACTTATACCATTCTGGATGCTGGTCTGCCCAAAGCATCCTGACCACAGATGTTTTCTATAATTGCCCCTTACCCACTCACTGTGATACTTTAACATTGGCACTCCAGAGCTGAATCTAACCTGTAGCTTCTCTGAGTCCCAGGCTCAGTTTGCCCCTTCTTAAAAAGTGTTTTCTGACTAAACATGCTTTCCATGGGACATAGAAATTGCTTGGACCAGAGCAACTCACCATCTATTGTAGAGCACAGCACCCACTGCTCTGTTCCACCAGTGTTTTTTTTTTCTGGAAGCCTTTGGAGTCACCCACTTTCATTGTGGCTTTGCAGATTTGATCTTCCTTTCTCATGCCACAAGCTAGGAGCTGGTTGAAAGTGCAGATCGTTCCTTGGTTATTCTGCATTTTGGTTTACCTTTTAAATTTCTCTGTAGTCTTTCCTAGGACTGAAGGGTCTACCTCTCCTCTTTCCTTAACTTGTGATTTTTCCATTGTCTGTATCCTGAATCATGGAGAATGTGATTTGTTGTTGCATAAACACTGCGTCGTCTTCCCACTATCCTCTGTATTCTTTTGAAAAATATCTGCTTAGATCCTTTTTTCTCTTTCTCCCCTTCCCTGTCCTCCTTCACTTTCCCATTCCTGTATTTCCTTTCCTCCCTTTGTCTGTCCTTCATTTCTTTTGTCCTTCCTTCTTTCCTACCTTCCACTCCTCCCTCCTTTCTTTCTTGTGTTCCTACCAATTGAACTCTGGGCCTTGTAAATGCTAGGGAAGTGTGCCACAACCTGTTACATTCCAAGTCCTGTTGTTCATTTTTAAAATTGGGGATTTTTTTTAGCAAATTAGTTGATCTCTTTATTTATTTTTGATATTATTCCTTTATCAAACTTATATTTTGCAAATACAGTTCCCATTCTATGGGTTGTGTCTTACTAAGAACATTTACGTAAAAAATTTTATCATCATATTTGATTTTAGGTAAAATGAATTAAAGAAAATCAGTAGAAGTTTGTTAATCTGGAAGACTGCCAGAGAGACCTAGTAGTTTAGCCACTGCCCCTCCAGCCTCCCAGCCAGAGTTTTCTGATTCCTTCCTCTCCTCCCCTGCCCTGAAGACTGTCAGGGAGCCTTAGCAGCTATAGCCCCACCACTCCAGCCTTCCAACCTGAATTTGCAGATTCTTGTCTCCACTTCTCACTTTGAAAAACACAGGGAGTCATGACTACCACAGTGACCTGCAGGAATTTTGTGGAGCGTTACCCTGGGCCAATCCACCATCAAGAGAGCCTTGCACAATTTTGGCCTACACTCATCCTTATCAGATTCTTCTTGAACTGCAGCTTGTCCCCTTCTCTTTAATGAGATAGAAATCACATTGAATCCTACACAACAGAAGCTTTGGTGTGCCTATCCTGACTTTCCACTCTCCAGAAAGCCCTGCTGGACTACACCCTGCCATCTAGCACCACTGCAAAAAAAAAAAATAACAAAAGGAAGAAAGAAAGGCAATCTCAGACCTCTAGTCCACCCAAAATACATCCAGGAGACAAGGTCATAAAAGAACTTGGATGTTACAGACCTGAAATGTCATAGATGACAGCAACTAAAGTAAACAAAAAACCATCAGACTATGGAGGAAGTCAGATCAGAAATAGTCCCTCACTTAAAACAAAAGAAATAACAATAATCATGAAAGAACTGTTTGATACATCTAAGGAAGAAACAGATAAAAACATAGAAGGGAATAGGAAAATGATGGAAACATTGAAGGAACAACACAAGAAAGAATTAGAAGGCATGAAACAGATTTAAACAGATACTCAGGACATTAAGAATTCCATTGAAAGTTGGCAAAATCACTTGAATGAAACAGAAGATAAAATTTCAGACCTTGAAGATAGCATTGCACCAGTGAACACAAAAAGAAACATCTCTTAAAACTAATGAGAAACCAGGAAGTAGTAATACAACAGCTGAAAGATGAATAAAGAAAAATAATATAAGACTAATAGATATCAATGAAACACCTGGATATAACACAAAAGACATAAAAAGAATGTTGGCAGAAATAGTAGCAGAAAATTTCCCAAGCATGGGAAAAGAATCTGATATACAGTAACTCAAGCATATAGAACTCTAGCTAGCCATAAGAAAAAAAAAATCATCAGCCAGACACATAATA